GACGTGTTATTAAATAAAATATAAAAGTAAATAGAGAAAAACTTATCAGTAAATAACATAACACTTTATACATCATTCTCTCACTGCTATGCATTGCTTGATGACTTTCAGATTTATTTAGTTTGAGTCTCCCTCAGGCTGCATGTTGTGATATGAAAAAGGTTGTTCTCATGTTGTTGCATCACTTTTTATAACTGAAACTGCAATTAAGAGTCACAGCTTGCATTATCATTGCTTACCTTGAATTACCAGGCATTACTTCACTATTTTTGTCATTTCTGCTAATTTTTATTTTGCTATGTTACAGCAGAAAACCAGTGATGAAAAGTAGTCTATATCAGAATTATTTTGCAATTTGTCTAGAAAGCAGTTAGACCAGCAGAAACATTATTGCAAGCAACTTACAGTTAAATGTTTATTGACAAATTCTTGCTCTCCTAACTATTTCTGTCCAATTTTTTCATTCAATGCAGAAGAGAAGGATATGACGAATGTTTTGTTACCTGCAAAACTGTAGCAGCCCATGACACAGCAATTATTTACCATTGCAGCCAATGGCTCAAACAGCTTATTCCCCCAATTGGGTGTGGCACGTGGCAATGATGATTCATATCCTCAATTAAAACCATGAATAATTATTGTGAAAACCAAGAATAGCAATGGATCACCATCTGCAATGCACATTGGTGAGAATGGAGATCCCAAGAAAAACCATCCTCAGAGAAAGCAATAAAGGCCTAAATGTTATAACTGTGGCCAGATAGGGACATTTTTGTAAAGACTCATAGTGACCAAAAACCTATGCATAATGCGAAGCAAGCAAGGGAAGACACACCCAATACAGAAAATGAAAACAACACCTTTGAAGATGGAGTCTTCTGAACTGGGTCACCAAATTTTTCCTCACGTAGCAGATGGTTAATCGATTTGGGAGGTACTAGCCACATGACCCATTTGAAGGAACTGATGTTCAATTGCTATGAGCTGAAGACGCCACAGAGAGTGAGCTTAGGGGATAGTCATACTGTCAATGCAGTTGGCATAGGGGACATACAAGACATGTGATATGAAAGATGTCCTACATGTACCAAAGTTTACACAATTTATTCTCTGTGAGGGCGGCAGCTACAAAGGGCAATATCAATAAATTTGGAAGAGGAAAATGTTGGATAAAATCTGGGTTATTTGGAGTAAAAGCTGTATATGCTAAATTGTGAGCCTATAGTGCCAGAGTGTGCATCTCAGAATATATCAGAGAAATTAATGTACTAGTGGCACAAAAGGATTGGGCATTTAGGGGAACAGCAAATGAGAGAGATAATGCTAATGTTCCCTAATCAGATAGGTTTATCCTTTTGTGAGCCCTGTGTAGAAGGTAAGCAACATAGAAAGCCATTTCAAGCCTTGAAAGAAATGAGATTCACAAGAATGCACAGTGCATTCACAGCGATGTGTGTGGGCCAATGCCTACTAAATTACTGGGTGGGAAAAAGTATTTTGTGTCCTACATTGGCAACTTGACTAGACATGGTAGCATCTATTTAATGAGAAATTAGTCCGAGGTCCCAGAGAAATCTAAATTGTTTGAAGCCTTCGTTTGTAACCAGACTGGCCTTATAATCGGTACTTTGCATTCAAATTATTTTGGTGAATACCTATCAAACGATTTTCAAAAGTATTTAAAGAGAAAAGGTATAAAACAGAAATGTAATGTTCCTTACTCTCCTGCACAAAATGGAGTGGCAGTGAGAATAAATAGAACTGTAGTGGAATCAGCTAGAACCAAGATTAGCTGTGCTGAACTACCTCAAAGCTACTGGGGAAAGGCTGTGGTTACAGCAGCTTTCATAAGGACATAAGGAATAGAGTTCCCACCAGAAAATTCAAAGAGGTATCACCATGTAAAAGGTGGTTTAGGAGGAAGCCTGACCTCAGCTCTTTAAAGATATTTGGTTGTGTGGCCTATGTCCTCATCCCAGACTGCAAGAGAAACAAATTGGATAGAACCTGTAAAATTGAGATTTGTGGGCTACTGTTCAAAGTCTAAAGGTCACAGGTTACTTGATGAGAAAACCGAAAAGTCATTAGAAGCAGAGATGTGACTTTAATGAAAATGACTTCCACTTAATAGAAGGTAAAAAAAGAAAGAAATCGAAACCGATGTACAAGAAGGTGAACAAAACCTTTAAGAGAAAAGCCCCTATCCATATAGACGGAGGCAACCACCAATTCGATATGCTACTGATGAATTTATTGAGTCTGCGATCAACACGTTTGAAATAAATGTACATGTACCTAAAGATATAGTAGAAGCTCATAAAATTTTCGAATGGAAAGCAGCAGCAGATGCTGAGCATTACTTAACTATGGTACTTGGGAATTGGCTCAATTACCAGATGGGCGTAAACCCATAGAATGCAAATGGATATTTAAAGTTAAAAAAGGGAGTGATGGTTGTATCCAACGTTTTAAAGTGTGATTGGTAGCTAAAGGTTATGTTCAAAAGTACGGAGTTGATTACGATGAAACATTTGCCCCCGTTTGTACAATATTCCTTCATCCAAACACTCCTATCACATGCAATTCAGATTGACATGATTCACAACCGCATTCCTAAATGGCACTCTTGAAGTGGAGATTTGTGCAGCAGCCAACTGGCTGTGTACCACTTAAACAAATCCTTTTATGGTCTAAAGCAGTCTCCTTGATGTTGGAATTAAGCATTGAATGAGCTCATGAAATCCATCAAATTAACTCGGAGTACAGCAGATCTATGTATATATAATTATCAAAACAGGAGGTGTAAATGGGTTAGTTATTGTTGCAGTTTAGGTCGATGATGTTAATATTGTTACTAAAACTCAACAGAATATGGCAGATATCAAGGAAGAATTGATGCAGAGATTCAACAAGATGATGGACCTGGGGAAACTACATCATTGTCTTGGAAAGGTAATCAAGGAAAAGAGATGTCTGTTGATACATCAGACGCTATACATAGAGTCTATGTTAAAAAGGTTTGGATTATCAGAGGCTGAGTGTATGAACACCAGCTAACACTCTGTCAAAATGAAAATAATGAGTCCAAGAAGCAAGCTGACCCAGCATTACCACCAATCAATAGTAGGAAGTCTACTATACCTTGCTATGGCAACATGGCCCGACAATTCTCAAGCAGTGGGAGTAGCATTAAAATATTGTTCGTGTCCCTCAGAAACACACCTAACGGCTGCTAAGAGGATCCTTCGTTACCTAAAGGAAACAACAAACCTAACTCTAAATATTAGAAGCCAAATGATGGTAAACTCATTGGTTTTTCTGATTCTCATTTGGCTGGTAATAATGGCGATAGTCACTATACATATGGCATTATATTGATCCCGTGTAATGATGC